GCATTCAGCACATTGGGATAAATTCTATGATTTCAATCTTAAAGGAGTGCATTTGCAAAGTAAAGCAGTCGTCCTAACTTAAGGGATAATTGCCATGCTTTATAGATAACTGAAAAAAACTGCCTCGCCGCGGCCCACCAAGCACAACGTGCCTCCCTACTCCATTCACAAGTGCTCTTACATACTGAAGTTCAGCACGAGGCTTCCACATACACGGCGCCACACACACGAGTGCCCTCAGACAGACGCAGACCGCATTGGGCTGGTGCCCGTTTCTATTTAAATGTGCAATTGTTGCCTCTCAACACGACAATATATGAGCTAAATCATGGACCTCATTGTTGCTCTCTTAACTTTCCCACTACACACTTACTATGTTTCCCGAAAAATGTACCACAACACTACGTTTGGCTGGTGACTTGGATGAGATTATAGCCACGCAGACGGGAAGGCGCAGCGTCTGGACCTCCTGCTCCTGAAGGAGTCCAGTGAGGTAATCTCCAAGCAGATCCCTTTCAGTGGCAAAAAGACAATATCAAATTGACCAGGCAGTATCCATTAGCCAGAGAAGGTCGCCGGCCACCGACGGGTGGTGGGATTAGCGAAAAAAAAAGGTCATATATAAATGGTTTTTATTGTCCAAACAGTACCCATGCAGTCGCAGCCTTACGGCTGAATTGATGCAGGGTATCACACAATAATCAATACAAATCACAACAATTACAACATTCAAATAATACAAATGATACACACAGTCGCAAGGGTCTGTGCGGCTGCCATTCGGCGCCACAAGATGACCTCAATACGACTTTCCCCATCCGAAGTTAGGTACCCATTCACACCTGGGTGGAGTGAGGAAATTCGTGTTAAGTGCCTTTCCCAATGGCACAACGTCGGGGCGCATGTTCAGACATGTACCGGGTACGACTCGGAATCGAACCCGGGTCTACCGGTTCACAGTCTATTGTTCTAACCACTACACCACCATATATAAAAATATATAAAAAGCTAACGATCATTCCCCCACAACCTCTGCTTGGAGAGTCCAGCGAGAGACTGTCCACTGTACAGAGAGGTTGTTCTATATCTATATCTGTATCTAACTAGGATTTCTGTAATCTTTGTTATCACTCAAGAAAGACGGTCGTGAAGATTAGATAGAGCCGCATATGAGACACGAAATTGCCGATTTGATGACATTTACAAGTTTTATAGATTTCTAAGGGAATAAGAAAGGAGTGCTGGCTGTCATTTGTAGCCACCCTTTCTGAACAAAATGTTTCCCCTCTGCAACGGCTGTTTGTTAGCTTCAATATTAGTAGAAAACTTTACCTGGAAAAGGAAAGTTGCTTAATTTTTATTAAATCTCAGTACTTGTAACCACATACTCTAAAAGATAGAGCTGATAAAAACTGTAAATCTTTTTGGAAAGAAAAAGCCAAAATCGAGATGTTTTAACTTCCGTTACCGGAATTCTGTACAGTTTAATGAGAATGATCCCAGATGAGCATTCTTAACTTTGTAGTCAAATAAAAGCAACAAGTACGCCGCTGCACAGACTTTCACGGTCGATGTTCATGAGAACTTGGACTTCTTGTTCCGCCGCTCAGAACCTTTCAGCGTGCCACTAGGTTCTCTTCCAGTTCTCATCAATACACCGTTAACATATCTGTCTCAAAGTCATTTTACAACAACAGCTTCTTTCCCCAGACTGCAAAATTATCACAACAAGGGTCCACCGCCATCTCCTGACATAATTACATTATACTCACTTAAGTACTTCTAGCTCTATGCCTAGAAGTGGCCAAAAATAATTGGCCTTGCATTGAGCGACACCGTTAAAAAAGAGAAAGAATTAAATACACAAAAACAGGAAGCAGGAACCCACACCCATGTGACCACGAGGGATACGCTGGTCACATTAAAGCGTAAGAAGTAATAGCAGGATATTTGATCGGCTGCCTCTACCGCCGCCCACTCACGGCCGGTGCAGTCATTTTAATCATGACGGCAACCCAATACGTCCTGTCATAGTTTTTTTTAACGGTGTCGCTCAATGCAAGGCCAACAAGAGTTCCGAGATCTCATACCTCCATGAAATATGGGCTTAATGTGTAAATGTAAATTTCTTCTTTAATTACGCAAATGACCTCTGCATTAACATAATATATGCATCGTGATGTTAACTTTTGATTAACTTAAAGATGTCCCAAGTATGACATTCCCATCATTCACCATTGAGAAATCATAGATTTTTTGCATTAATTATTCAAATTAGTTCATCATTTGCATAATTAGTATCTGTTGATGTTCCATCTGCCATAGGTTACATACATTACATGTATGAAAGTTCCATAATGTAAAACACTGTAATTATAGAATTTCCTCCTTAATTATGCCAATTAAGTCCTCATTTGCATAATTTGCATTTAATCATGTACAACTCTCTGTCAGATACCTACACACCAAAAATGATGAAAATACGTTGTTCCAATCTGGAGTTATTGGCTTTTAAAGTTTTTACCAGAAACTAACCTGCAGTTCCAGAATAAGCTGCTAGGGGGACCAAACTTACGCCACTTATTCCTGACAGGATAAGCTATCTGTCACCAAAAATTCAAGACCATAGCTTGTTCAGGACAAAAGATACCAAAACCAGATCAGCCACCAGGAGGCCCATACTTGACCTTGACCTTTGTCTTTCCAAGACTTACCAGCATACCAAATATCATGGTAATCCATAAAGGCGTTCTGAAGTTATGCTGACTACAAAGTTGCGGAAACACAGACAGACACACACACAGACAGACAGACACACACACAGACACACATACAGACAGACGCCGCCAAAAACAATACCTCCATTTTTCATGGAGGTAATTATTTTTGGCCACTTTTAGGCATAGAGCTAGAGGTACTTAAGTAAGTATAATGTAGTTATTTTAGGAGATGGCGGTAGACCTTTGTTTTGAAGCTTTGTGGATTGTAATCGGATGGAAAGCATCTGTTTGGAAGAGAGTTCCATAATTTTGCAGTCCGGGGAAAGAAGCTGTTGTTGTAAAATGACTTGGAGACAGGTATGTTAACGGTGTATTAATGAGAACTGGAAGAGAAACTAGTGGCACGCTGAAAGGTTCTGAGCAGCGGAACAAGAAGTGCAAGTTCTCCTGAACATCGACCGTGAAAGAATCTGTAGAAAAGGGATAGGGATGCGACATTGCGTCTGTGTGAGAGGGAATCCAGCTTTGCGGCCAGAGAATGGCCGATGGTGGGGAGGAAGACACTAATTCTACAGGGTTTAAAGCTACACGTGCAGTCTAAGGTGAACCATCGAAAACCCTAGAAGGCCCCATCCTTCTTGGGAATTCAAAACGTACTCACTCACTCGGAAATGAGAACCTAGCTCCGATCAAGGGCGTCCTCTCGGATACATAGGTCCCGTGTTTGGGGAGAGCCACTGACATCTATTATGTTGAAGACCTTATCGAAAACAGTAGGGTTTCTTCCCAGTGTATGTGGATCAAACCTTATATACATATCCTTATATGTACTTACTGTACAAAACTGGTGTTTTGCGCCTTACGGCAATTAAGGCCACACCGTCATAATTTTATGGATGACATCCTCTTAAGACCCCCAAACTAGTGCGCGCGGGCGAACAAAAAAATTTTTGGCCAAAAATAAAGATGCTGCTAAACCACAGGAAAACAAAGCTGGTGATTGTGAATTTGCGGCAGTACATAGCGACGTATCGGACTAACCGGCACATGCTTAATGACACTGTATGAATCGGCACTATACATATGTACTGAGTTCTTGAGTTGTGGAGCTTCGGTTGCCTGGGTGCCATCCTCCAGAGTTACCCCCGGCTCCCTATTGTCGCCAATTACCATGGACTACCAAGGGCTACTGCAGAGTCTCGGATCTTTTTTTTTTTTTGAGAACAGGTGAAAATCCATGCGCGCGTGGATGTCATCCATAGAATTAAGTCTGGCCTAACGAGTACAAACAAACGTCTGGATATGTAGGCGCCTTGGTGTCTAGTAAACTACTTGCTCTCTGTCGCGTGTCTGGGGCATTTGACGAGCAAGTGATTGGACTTCAAAGAATCTTTGTCAGAGATCTAGTCGTAGCTCTACATAATTGTTGTTTCAAATCTATTAACATCGAAAATTAATCTACCGCAAACTGCTAGGTACATAATTAGTTCGTGCCTGGATGTGAGCGGGTTCACCTTATTCCCTAGAATAGCTTCTGGAATGAGTTCACCAATATATCCCGTAGGTATAGTCTCCCTGCCGTTTTTTTCCTCAGAATGAGTTCATGATAAAAGACCCATGTCTAAGTAGTTCTGAATTATTAAGATGATTGGAACTCTTGTTGAATGCATTGCGGTCAGTCTTACCCGAAAGCTAGCTGCGAAAAACAAGAATGGTACAGGTACACGTGTGAATGAAAAGGAAAATAAGTTTCTGAATTTGTTGTTTTTTACTTCTTTTACAAACGTGGTGTTAAAAGAAGAACTCCGCTTTCCCTATACTTCATTAGTTCTGTGAGGAGGGGTGTAGGTTTCTGTTATTTAACCGTACTGGCTGTGAATGTATTACTGTTTTGCAGCCCGGTGACAACAGACGATAATATCAACCCAGAAAAGAAAAGAAATAACTTCAACTACAAGAATTATCAACCAAGGATTGAGGTGTTCAAAAAGTAATTTGGCCAGAACTACGATAATCGTCGTGTGGACCTAGCTGCCACCAGTGGTGTACAGTGTGGGAATTATCGCTATATAGCTTTAAACAGTTCGTAGAGTTAGGTTAGGTGTAACAAGTCGTTAGGTGTAATGGAGCTAGCTGCCGCCGCACCGCGTGCCTGTGAAGCTGGTGTGTTACGCTGAAGGTTGATTTTACCAGCCATACAGATACAGACGACAATGGGAAAAGGGAGTCCTGCTCTCTTAATTAAGATGTTATTACATGTATTTCACATACAGATCCAACATGGACATCTTCAACGACAGCACCAACGGAACTGACGGGAACGACACCCTTCTGAACCCGTTCATCGCGAAGTACAAGCACGGAGCTGGCGTCATGACGCTCATCATCCTGGCCTACGTCCTGGTGTTCGGACTGTGCGTGGCCGGAAACATCATCGTCTGCGTGGTGGTCATCAAAACCCCCAGGCTCAGGTCAGTACTGTCCGGTCATCACCACACAGAATAGCCACTACAAGACTTCGGATTAGCTCACACAAACTTATTGTTGAAAAGGGTAGACACAACCACATTCCTCTGCAACAAAGAATTTGTCATTACTGTAACCTAAATGAGATTGAAGACGAGAGTCATTTTATTGTCGACTGTACTCTATATAATAATGAAAGAAAGATTCTCTTCAATTGTATACAAGATTATTTCCCTAGTTTTAGATTTTTAGAAAAATTCACTTTCCTCATGGAATTCAATGATCCTCGTACTTCGACTTCTTCTTTGAAGGCAGTGGATAATGAATAGTCCCACATTCTGCATAATTAGTGGGTTTTGTGATCTTAGTAGAAATGCAGTTTTTTGGTGATCTTCTAAATGACGAAATGATGGAGAAATTGTTATAACTGTCTGAAATAATCTGTTTCTTTCGGTCTCATAGTGAGGACACTGACTAACAAAATGTATTTCATTTTCCACTGCATTCATTGTACAATATTTACATAATCTCTCGTGCACAGGTAGTTTAATGATCTCCAGCTATGAATACCCCATGTAGAAAAATGCGTGCAATCTAAGTGCATTCAGTCGCACTTTTCAACATAGGTGATAATCGTTAAACCAAATGACCAGGCTTACTATATATAATAGGTTCCTTTTGTTTGCTTGTACCTACACAGGACTGTGACGAATTACTTCATCCTGAACTTGGCCGTCAGTGATCTGCTCGTGGCCGTGTTCTGTATGCCTTTCACGCTTGTCGAGCACATACTGACAGGTAAGATTTTCAACACAGTATTTCAACGTTGAAAACAGTATAATGTGTGCAGGCATACCTTTTGTTCAAAGCAAGACTGTGTAGCTTATATATATATCCTGGACTTAAAGGCAGTTAGTGGTAATGAAGCGGAACAACCACTATTGCACCTGGTACAATTAGTTAGTGTTTGTAGCAAAGCAAATAGATCACTGCGACACTGCATTACCGGATTATCAGGCTACCAATTTAAACAAGAATGCTTATTACGTGTGAGTATCTAGTGGCGTCGGGTGGTGTAGTGGTTAGAGCATTCGACTATGAAGCGGGGAGACCCGGGTTCGATTCCGGGTCGTACCCGGAACATGTCTGAACATGCGCCCTGACGCTGTGCCCTTGGGAAAGGCACTTACCACGAATTTCCTCACTCCACCCAGGTGTGAATGGGTACCTAACTCCGGTTGGAGAAGCCGTATAGAGGTGACCTTGTGGCGCCGAATGGCAGCCGCACAGACCCTTGCGACAGTTCCACAAAAATTTGCGGAACAAATATGTATCATTATTTGATTGTTGTGATTTATATTGATTATTATGTGATACCCTGCATCAATTCAGCCGTATAAAGGCTGCAACTGCACGGGTACTGTTTGGACAATAAAAACCATTAAAAACCATTAACAAAAGAAATGCTAACTTGAACTACGTTGTGAAGACCTGTAACGTTGAGGCTGAGAGAAGGAATCAATTTTGCTACTTCTGTACTTGTTACAACGCCCCTCTCACAAGTTTAATCTGTGTAACTGTCAAGATGATTGAAAATACCGGTTCACCATATCTGGGACACACGTACGGTTGTGTTGAAATGACACTAAGGCCACAGCAAGTAATTTTTATGGATGACATCAGCGCGCGCATTAATTTTCGCCATGATTGTGGAAAAAAAAACCACGAAATTTTGTTGCCTTCTGACAGTGGTCACGATGCCGAAAATAGGCCTGCTGCCATGCCGGAAGGTGGATGGCAGATAACTATAAAGAGAGGAGACAAGAAAAGGCTCTGATTTAATATTTTGTTTCTTACTTTGATGCATTGATATGTGATGTTGGCTGTGTATATGTGATGTTCCCAATGAATCAAAACCATTTGTAAAATGATTGAGTCAAAATGTTAAAATGTAGTAACCTTCTTTTTTCGTTTTTTTCGTCATCCATAAGATTGATTTGCTGTGGCCTAAATTCCGGAAGCAGATTTTAATCTCTTCTTGATTCTATTTTGTAGTGTAGTAAAGACTAGACACGGTGTATAGACTTTATGTTTTTCAGCATTTTAGGCGTATGCAACATGTCTTAGCATTTGGATAACGGTATCAACAGACTACATGTTATAGATTGTTGTGAAATTACAAGATTTCTTGGAAATGAAGATTTGCTGCATCATGTTTTGGAATATGTTTGAATTCATAATATCATTGCGTTAGCTTTGTCTTCCATTATTTTGAGGGAAACATGCTCGTTGAATTCTAACTTATATTTTTCTGTAACTATGGCATCGGTAATAATTATATAACTGTCACGTGTATCTGACACAGGAAACGCTGTACCACACTTAAGTGAAGAATCAGGAATAACAAATTACCTCAATTCACACAAAATTGCTCGCGGCACGCACTGTTGGTGACCTTTACGGGACAACCTTCAGATTGATTTTTACAGCTGTCTACAGAAAATAACAAATAACCCTCAATTATGACGCAGGTTATCTAACACTTATCACCACAGGCCCGTAACAACGTTCATTAGCATGAAAAGCTGAAGGCATTACAGGAAGTTTATGGATACTGACCTTGGAATTACTGCGATTTGTAGGTATCGAATTACCCGGTATAGGGGCGTCTAGGGGCAATGTGTTGTTATCCACTGTGGGGTGGATACGGTATTGAAAGATGAAGTCTATCCCTATTCTTCCACAGCCCAACCAATGATAAACATGTATATACATGCGGCGCAAGTTGTGCAGGCACAGAATACTTAAAACTCCCAGCTTTGTACCACGACACTATGAGATTATCGTCATCACCAACTTAACTGAACTGTATCCGATTGCAAAGACTCAGCGCTACCGCAACAGCTCCATCCCATATATTGTTAGCCTACTAAATAAGTAATCGAGCGTACACGGTAAACGACCTTGCAGTCATTGAGGGGTAATTAACTGTCATGCTTTAATAACACGTTTTGTTTAGTAACCGTCTTTATGACCAGTGTTTTACCTACGAATTCGTAATCTTAATAAGTATTTTATTAAGCAATGCAAACTTATTAACACTTATAACTCTACTAAATTAATAGATTTTATCATATGTGAATGTTGTAATAGATTTTTTTCTTCTTTTAAACCTTTTAATGGGCTACGTCTTTAGTCTTAATCTTTGTAATTGTGAGCAACAGTGCAATTCAGAACCCCTGAGTTCTGCAAAACTGTTTTACATTGACATCAATAAACCAGTCATATACATCACTATCTAGAAAACGCTGAGGGGGACTACTAATCATATTCGCTTATCACAGATCTTCTTGTCGCCTATGTTCTAATCGACTCACACATGAATTGAGTTCAAATATGATCATAGAAAATACACAAAGTACATGATAAATAAACTTGGAATTCACTTTTTCGAACATGACATAGTTGATTGATTTTGCCTGGATCAACTGAAACACGTGTTTAAAGTATGCCACCAGCCGATCAGAGATTGTGTCCGACATGCAAGGAGGGTATTGAAGACGAATTCCACTTTATGATGTCATGTCCAACATATGAAGAAAACAGACAAAATTTGATACAATCCATAGCTTCCAAAACTAATGTTACGGTACCTCACTCAAAATCAGATATCTTTAATATGCTCCTTTCATGTCCTACTCAGTTATCAGTGTACGTTGGAAAATTCATATTTGAATCACTACAAAAGCTAAAAGTAAATAGCTGATATATTCCCTGAATTACAGAATGTAATAATACTCTTCCTAAGAAAACACAATAGATTAGCTCGTTAGAATCATATTTTAGTATTAGTTTGTGTATGTACCATTGTTGTTTCTTTGCCATACACTGTACCAGCTACAGTTGTTGAGTAATATTATTGATTGATTGATTGATTGATTGTTCCAGGTTACCAGTTTGGTGACGTCATGTGCCGAGTGAACCCGATGATCCAGGGTGTGTCCGTGGCTGCATCAGTCTTCACAATGACGGCCATCGCCTTCGACAGGTAGCTACTGAACCTCTCCATGCTTATAAATTATCCATGTTGCTAAGCCAGCGATATCTTAAGTAATATAGGTCAATTAATTAGTTGAATGCGTCATCATGTGAAATCAGAGGGTTCCCAGCAGAAATGCATTTGAATGTATGGATAAAAAGTATATTCTAAACAAGATAATCCATCTAACCTTTCTTGAGTTATGCTGTTGACAGACACACAGACAGACACACGGCCAGGAAAACATAAACTTCGTCAATTCTTGGCGAAGATAATAATAGTCCAGCCTATTCGCGCAATGGCACACTTCCAATCAAATACTGTATGTTAATATGGTTGGCAAAAATGCTTTATCAAATCATGTGGGTCACATCAGTAAAGGTACAGGTTTAAAGGCCTAAAGGTCAGCTAGAATGCTATTATTTCCAATCACTAGAGACTAATTAAAAACAAACTGCATGTGGATGAACACATTTATTCTAAACGCTGACTGTGTGTGAAGTCAACATAATGTCAGCTGAATGATGTATACTAATGTGCTCCAATTTACCGCATCATTACCAAATAATATAAGCACAGATTCATATTTATAGAGTATTACGAAAAAATATTTCTAAATGATGATTAATACTCCAAAACCAACACCATGAAAATCACCTACATCAGTTCTACTGACGAAGTCTGGCATTGACCCCCTTTCACACATTATGTACGCCCACGATTTGCACGGTTCAAATGTGCCACCTGCACCAAGGCATTCAAATACCAGACAAATGAGCCTAACTTTATGGTCTTCGAGTAATATTTAAAAAGCCATAATTACATTGATACATATTTATAACCATAAGAGATTGAATATAAGCAGGGGTACCTGTATGCAAAACCTAATGTTATTATCTGTTTTAGAAGTCACAAATTTATATGAAATGTAATATACTAACTATAGTAGCTGATGTAACAACGTTTTGATGGTGGCTATTATATAAAGTTATACATGGGATTTCAAAGCAAGGAGAGCTAATCATATTATTTATTTGTAACAGTATACATGTTGCTTGTAATCACGTTTTATGGAAAACCGTTACACTGCAGCTGCGAGTCTATGGCAACGGGCTTTTTTACTTGAATGTAGAACACCTAGTACTTAGAATTCTGTGCACGGTGCATTCGCCACGTTATGCGATACCATGGTCCAATATTTGCTTAACGAGCCTTTGTGATTTTTCTGAACCACTTTTTCTGAACCAACCATATTATAGAAGAAGCGGGTAAATTCGTCTTCAATGGACCTATACCATTATTACGTCACAGTTTGTTTACCTGTTCTAAAGAACATTCTAGAACGGTCAGTTAAAGAATAAAGATCATTTCAAAGTTTTCAAAGTAAGGTATGTCTGATTTTTGCTGCGTCTAGTTGTGTTGACACAGCATTACTTGCCGTAATGGGTGATTTAGTTGTGATATTAGACAAAAGTAGTACTGTATTAAAAGCCTTATATTAGGCTAACGCTACACAAACACACACTGTGCTACGCACCCTTGTACGTCAACTGACCGGCATTCATTGCGGTAAACAAACTGTGACGTAATAATGGTATAGGTCCATTGCCTAAAAATTAGAAGTCTAACCCAGTAAAACTAGTACCATGTATGTTGTAGAATATAGTATAATGCTAGAAGTAGATATAGTCTCACACACCATTGTATTTTCTTTCTTATGTTGTTTGTAACTGCAATTAGCCCTCGGGCAAGTATTTGCAATAAACTTTCTTGTAATTAAACCCGTTTTAAAGACAGCGTGCCAGTATTTCAGGCCAGTATTTTACAAACCGCTTCCTGTTTTTTCTATTTCTACACAGGTACAAGGCGATCGTGTTCCCGATGAAAGAGCGGATGACCCTGCGGAGAATGACTCAGATCGTGGCCGGTATCTGGGTGAGCGGTGTCGCCATCATGATCCCACAGGTCTTCGTCCTGAAGGTTGTCACGCTCGGCCCAAGTGCCGAAGTCTCAGTCTTGGCGTGCATTGAGATCTGGCCCGACACAACCTACAAGCAAGTGTACACCGCCTCCCTGTTCTCACTTGTGTATGTCCTCCCCCTGTTGGTCATTTCATACTTCTATTGCCGTGTGATGTTCAAACTGTCCACCACGTCTGCCTCTCAGACTGGTCAGCGCCCCACCCAGTTCGCTGTCTCACGTAAACGTGTCAGGGTCCTGAAGATGTTGATCACGGTAGTAGTGTTGTTCGCTCTGTCATGGCTACCCCTGTACACATGCTGGATGCTTGGCGAATTCGCCAATCTGTCTCTGTGGCAACAGACCATCATAAGTCATTACATCTATCCGATTGGCCATTGGCTCGCCTACTCCAACAGCTGCGTCAATCCCATTGTCTATGGCTTCTTCAATTCCAACATTCGAAAGAACCTCGATAATCGGGATTCAAAGAGACGAGCAGAGACAGATGCAAGGGCCAAAAAACCCTCTCCTACACCTACTACAAAGCACACCAATATCAGGAGAGACGCAATCGAGATGCAGCCTCTCAAGCTGTAATACTTTACGGTTCTCTGAAGGGATAGACCACTGTTTCAGGCTCCCATAGTAAATATGCTAAACATCTAAGTAATGAGGTGTCAAAAATCACTTTCTTGAGTGTTCAGCACACTGACAGGGTAGCTTGACCTTCAAATTGTCAATTTAGCCCAAAATGTAGGGTTTAGAATTATCTTTATTACAATGTAAATACAAGATGAAAGATTACATGGGTAAAGCCCAGGTCAACCCTTTTCTATCGGCAGAAACTCATCGTATCAATAAAATGGTGGCCGGAATGACCTCTAACCCCTCCGTACACCACAAAAACATAGCATCACTTCTAGAGCTGTACCCAGCATAAAATACAAGCTTAATAAAAGCGATTTTTGTCAGCACCCCCAGCTGAAAATACCTGCAAAAATTAAATTAATATTTGCATAATTGTAATATTATTATGTCAAGCATAACTTCAGCTACCTACATGCCAAAAATCACGACGATCCATCAATCGGTTCTTGAGTTATCCGCCTTTAAACATTTTTCAACTAACGCCCCTGCAGTTTCAGAGCAAGCAGCTAGGGAGCTCAAACTCATGTCACTTCATTCCCAGCCCAAGAGCTATCTACCGTCTAGATTTCATGACCCTAGCATGACCGGATCACGAGATAACAAAACCGGAAGTTCAGCTGCAGCACCATAACAATCCGCTAGGGGCCCAAAATCTAATCAGTTTCACGTCTCATGAAGACCTACCCACCTACTAAATATCAAGATAATCCATCTAAGCTTCCTCAAGTTATGCTGTTGATAGACAGACAGACACACACAGACACACGGCCAGGAAAACATAACCTTCTTCAATTCTTGGCGAAGGTAATTAGCAAGATGTGCAAAGACAAAGGTTGTTTACAGTTGGCTTAGATGTTCTCATTAATGGTTTATAATACTCGAAATGGGCCTTTTGGGCCTGCGCCAAATAGTGGTCTTTGCCCTACAGCCTGGCTAGCTTCCAGCTACCCCCAACTGACAAGCCCCTTAGAAGTTTGCCGTCGAACACTTCGAAGTCAGGAGAATTTGGAGCCTTCATCTTGTTGATTTTTTTTTGCATGGACCAATTATTGTGAGACTGATAACTGCCTGCTAAAATGGTGTTTTACGCTGCGATGACTGATTAATAATGACAAATAATTTTGAGCACACATTAGACGGATTGACAAAGACGTGATAACGAATGCTGAGCTCCTATTGGCAGTTTAAGGAATGGTTCTTTCGAAGTAAACGTGTATGACCACAAGCTCTCAGGGAGAACTGGCCAAAGCAGCTCCTGGCAGCGAGAGATTAGGTTTTTCAATCTATCCAGCAGTTAAATCTTTGCAATATTCAACAACCAATTATTATTGAGGTTGTCATAACCGTATACACCCTAGGGGTCTTATGTCAATTATTACAAAGTCTCAAGACAATAAAGCCTTGTGCATTTTCATCTGGCTGTGTGCAGTGCCTTTAAATACCAAGCACTGGTGATTGTCTTTCTACAAATTTATTATTGCAAAACAAGGGCACACTTTGCATGGTACTCTTGAGTATGGGTACTAAATCCAAAGACACGTAGCATCCCAGGTTATGTTATGAGTGATGTATAAATACGTCCTTCAAAATGTTGCCGAGAGGCCATAATTCCCTTCCCCTACATGTTGTTCAGGCTTTGTACCATCTCCTAGTTGTATATCATCACTGACATTAAAAACAGAAAGGACGGAGACATATCCATTCAGAAATTCCAAACATGATTTCCTTTAATTCATCTTACTGGGACGTATTGTCGGAAAACATTCATTCTAAGTCCGTAGTCAAGCTTTTTATTACTTCGCACCAGAGTGGGTCTGTTATTGGTCTTCTCCAAAATCATCCTGCTTACTGCGGATCCCCATGATGTATTCACGTACCAACTACTTCAAACTACCCCAGCGTTCATATATCAGAGGTGTTTGACCGTTGAAGGTCGATTTGACGGTCTATAGGAGGAGGTGATGAAGTGGCGTAAAATAGGCTTTGCAAAAGTAAGTACATCATATGGCACTTAGACCGCGATAAATTCTGTTCCCGTGCCTCTTCATGTGCAACTAACGTGGCAGAGTCCCTACCTCCGCCATTAGACAAGTGTTCTTACAGTAATTTGGCGAAGGGCTACCGCACTAAAGTGAAATACGATCATGTAACCGTGGAAGAAATAAATGGAAATAATTCCCACATGAAGACCGTTTTGCTTAGGCAGAGAAATAGGCTGGCTTATAATGGTCACTACTAGTATGTGAAATAGCTATAAGAACGAATCATCGTAGGGTAATGTGTTTTAGGTATGTTTACATACATTGGTGACCAGTGTAGAAGAAGGAACACTGTCAGGCAGACTGTAACATAATTGCCATGTGCATCATGATTCTATTCTATATATGTTCCTTGTTGATGTGATGTAGCGATTCAGCATATTAATGTATAGGTGTTATGGTTTACATTGTCTCTCTCAATACAGTCTGAAGAGTTATTGCATGTAGTTGTCACTATTGTAAACATTCGTGAATAGGTGCCGTAAATGTAATGAGATGGGCATGTCATGATTTGTAACTACTTTAAATGAGTTGTAACCATTTTTGAATATTTGTGAATTGATGTTGTAAAGGTAATGGACAGGAATGATACAAAAAGTTCCCTGGTTATCACAGTAAGTGTACCGTCTGAGATATTAAAAATATTTGTAAAGTTATTAAATATACTGGTGTAATGTAGGTGATGTCAATTCAAAGAACGTGGGATTAGCGAATGATAAATGCCTTCATTTGTAACTAAAAGTTGTAATGATGATGATGTAACGTGACTATATTTTGTCGTACAGTACCAATTAATGTTTGAGTTCAGTTATATGTTGATAAAAGGTACATGTAATACAATATAAATCAAACGAATGGATAAAGTTTCAGACAGCAGCCACTGCCATGTACCTGTGAATGAGTATACGAGCACGAGCGGAACTAGCATGGCCTAGTTGTATGGTTAAAGGAATCAGAATGTAATCTGACATTCCTTGAAAGTTGTTGATGTTACATGCATTCGATGGGCTCAGCTGCAGTTGTTGTTTAGAAGACTGAATGTTTACTGAAGGCTATACACATACCAGTCATCGTTTGGTTCCAAAACATTTCAATAGGTTATATGCTCTAATGCTATGTGTACTTTAAAAGAAAAAAAAAACTTCTGTCGATTGTTGACTTTCGTAAGTCCATGGCGTAGATTGTAAATTATGCAGACAATATATTTTGAAGATAACGTTGTAAAGAATGATATTTGTTGAATAAAATTGGTGGTATTCTGTGTATATTTGGTCCAGCTGTTTCATTTATTAGATTTAGTATGGCGTAGAAAATTAAGAATTTTTTTCAGTATCCCTAGACCTTTTGCTTGGTCCTGTTTTTTTTTTCAAATTGTCTACCATGTAGACCGAAAGTTTAAAAAAATAACATGATCATGTAGAAATACAAAGATAAAACAAGAGTTCCACGACCTCATAACTTTGCCAAATGATAATAACCTTTACTTCTGAGTTATACATTTTTCTCAATGATTTTGAGAAAACCAGCCTTATTTTCCTGAATTATCATAATACCAGGTGATCACACTCTCCACTCAATGGTAATCTGATTTTAGCAAAGAAGGCTATTCAACCGTTTCGTAATAAATTATGCAAACGAGGTCCTGATTTGAATAACTAATTATAATCGTGTTTAACCTCACTTCACTTCAAAATGTGGCAAATACTAAATTTCCAGCGGTAACCGTTATGAAATTATAGCAAATTGCCATTAATTATGCAAATGAAGTCTTCATTTACACTTTCAATGTTTCTGTCGTTCTCAGTTACATAAGTGTTTCATAGTCCTATCATCGTATCAGATTTATAGGATTTCCTAATTAATTATACAAAATACATCCTGATTTACATAATTGTCCTCTAATCATGTCAAGCATTAATTCAGCAACTTATGCACCAACAACCACGACAACCCGTCAACCGGTTCTTGAGTTATTCTTCCTCGAAGATTTTGGGCGAATGTGTCGAATTAGATAGAGTACAAGTACAAGTACAGCAGGGACATCCTGATTTGATTTAAACAAATTGAAGAATTAGATGTGGGGAGGGTAGGCGTTACAGGTCGTTACAATATTCCTGAGAAGCTGTCTTTTGTTAGGCCGAAGGGTGGTTATATCGGTTAGGCCACACCAAGTAAATTTTATGGATGACGTTCGCGTGCGCAGCGATTTTGGCCTGTTCCTAGAAGAAAAAAACCAGAAACTCCGCTTCCTGTAACTATGACCAAAGAGTCACAACAGTGCCGCAAATCGTCAGATTGACGTGAACTCCGTAACGCGAAATGGGTAAAGAGCACATGCTTTGTTTCTGCAGGCCTGCAAAAATGTGATGAAAGAAACAGGACGACAACTGCTGTTCCACCTGATTTATTGCTGTTTTGATGATGAATAAAAGACTTCTTGCTTGTTACACTGTGTCACCTCATTCAATTTGTGCCCTAACATTTGTCGTCTCTTAGTATATTTCTAATCTAGGCATCTTGTTTTTTAGGGCCCTTCTTGTTTTTCTTTTTTAGCGTCTCCTAAGGACGTCACCCAATTTACTTGGTGTGGTATTCTACAGAATACAGAAACTAATCACCAAGACGATCCTACACTGGTGTATAACTATTAAAATGTGAAATCCAAGAGCACGGCGGTCTTGCATAGCTGCAAAATGGCGGGACACCAAACACCGATGGGCAGTTGCGTGATGGTTTACATAGGTCAGAACAGCAGTTTCAGCAGTAAGCTATGAATAAATCTAGTTAACCGTATTTATACCGTAACGGTTCCTTTTGTCATCCTGGGACTTGAGGGGTGTGTGCAAATTTAAGGCCATCCAATGCGAAATCGAATCTTCGTCAATTTACAATCACGTACAGGGGCCCAAC